ACCCCTCCATGGCCTCTACATCAACTCCTGCCTCCAGGTTCCTGAGCTCCTGTCCTGATTTTCTTTGATGACAGTGACATGGAAATGCAAGATGAATAAATCCTTTCTTCCCCAACTTACTTTTTGGTCATGGTGTTTCATCATTGCAATAGAAACCCTAACTAAGGCAACATGTATGTAAAAAAAAAAATTAAGAAAAAACAACTTCAAATGATTGACAGTGTTGCCTGTACAAACAAAAACCACTTCAGTATGTCGGCATATAAAATTAAAATGCAAAAACTAAAGTAGGGAAATACTTGTAACACAGATGGCAAAGGGGTCCTTAAAAGAGCCTGGAAATGGCACTCACAGCCATCATGATAGAAAGATTAGTACAGTCCTGCACAGGGTTGGCGTGCACATCCATCAAGCCTTACATACTTCCGTAAGGGAAATGTGCTCCGTATTCACAATGGAACTTTCTCAGCCATAAAGGAAAATGAAATCAAGACATATGCAGGAAAATGGATGGAATGGAACTGGAGAGTATCAGATTAAACAAATTAAGCCAGACTCAGAACAATACCTTCAGTATTTTTCTCATATGTAGAATCTAGATTTAGGTGTATGTGTGCCATTCCTGAGACTGCAAACTAAGAGCTGGGGTCTATTTATCACCATCCACATGTACCCTGATACCAAGAATTAACCAGAAATGTACTTGTTCAATAATTTAGTTTTCCCACTATGAGATCTTTCTTTAAAGATTTATTTTTTATTTTAAGTGGATATGTGCCTGAGTGTATTATGTGAACCCTGTGTATGCTGTGGCCACAGAAACCAGGAATCAGCTCTCCTGGAACTAGTTATGGGCAGCTATAAGTCACCCGAGTGGGTACTGGGAATTGAACCTGGGTTTTCTGCAAGAGCAACAAGTGCTCTTAGCCACTGAGCCATCACCTCTCCAGACCAAGGGGATTTTTAGCTCTTGCTTTTTCTTGTTTTTTTCCTGCTAAAATAAATGCTTTCATGGAACTTTCAAAGTGCTAGACTGTAGAAATTCCAGACTTATTTCTGATGAAGAAAAACACCAGAAGTGGAATTATACACAGGAGCACACAATTCGCCACCACATCGCTATTTTTAAAAGCATGATCTCAAACTCTCTAAAGTGAAATCAAGAGTTTTGATTTTAAAGTTTGATTCATAATTTAAACCTGAGCTGTCTTTGGGTTCCTAATCGCTTCTGTCAGAGGGCTGCTGTGTTGGAGGTGCCCCGTGAGAACCATCCAGTTCTGCCCAGATGAGAATTCAATAATTGCTATTGGTGAAGGGTGCCTGTTAGGACGGGGGCAGCTAAGGCTACAATTGGGATGCATCAGGCAACCCTCTAGAACCAGAAAGCCCTGCAACTGGGATAAAAATACGCCATAGAGCAGCTGAAAAGGAGGCTGGGTGAGATAGGCTAATCCCAAAGCAGGGGAAAGCAACTGTTACAGCCGGGGCTGCCCCACCACCCTTGGCTTCCCAGTATAAAGCTGTCAAGACAAGTGTCTTCCCCAAACTCTGCAGATGCGTTCCTAAGGTGGTGGCAAAGTGCCCTGGGCTCTCTTATATACTGGTCTCTGAGGTGTCTTAATTTCTGGGATGTGGCAGGAGTGGTCATGACATGGAAAACCCACTGGTCCTTCTAACCTAAGCAAGAAAGGGTTTTTCAAAATTTTACATAGCATATCAAGAAGGGGCACTATTTATCCATTCTTCGGTGTCTATTTGCTGCTTTGAATGTGCCAGCTCCTGTTTATGGAACTAGGATATGGCTACTGAAAGAAAAGGAAGTCCTTTCTCTAGAGATGTATCCGGGAGATGGACAGCAAATGTGACCACAGCTGGTGAAGAGCGCTGTGGAGAAAGCATGCAGGGCAGGGGGCTCAGAGAACGGATGACAGGTCAAAGGCATTTCGTCAGAATAGATGAGGGAGCGGGGACAGATATGCCCAAGGCAGAATGGGCAAATGTATGAACCGTGAGATAAGGACCAAGGACCGCCAGATCATTCGGATGAACTGGAAAGGGGAGCACAGGCGGAAAAGGCAGCAGAGGGGCCAGAGTACAGGGTGCTCTCATGGGCCAGTGTAGAGAACTGGACTTTTACAGAGGCAGTTGATTATGGGGAAAGAAAACCAGTTCGGGCTGCTACAACCCAAATGAGAGATCATTCCTGATCCCTACAGTGCTAACTGGCTGGACTCTGGGCACAAGCTGGAGATACAGCCAAGACAGTTTTTGGACTCACTTTTCTACCCAGTCCTACTTTCAAGTGTAACAAGACAGAAGAAACAGGATCATTTAAGGATAGACAGCCAGTCCTATCAAGATTTAAGGGACTGTCTACTTACAAATACGTACTTATGACCCCAGTATGCTGGCTAGTTTTACATCAATTTGACACAAGCTAGTCACTGGAAAGGGGGAAACTTTCAAATAGAAAAAAAAAAAAAAATGCTACCATAAAATCAGGCTGTATAAGCAAGCCGTTGGACATTTTCTCAGTGCTTGATGTGGGAGGGACCAGCCCATTGTGGGTCGTGGTATCCTGGATTGCTGGTCCTGTGTTCTGCAAGAAAATCAGGCTGAGTAAACCATGGGGAACAAGTCAGTAAGCAGCGCCCCTTCATGGCCTCTCCCTCAGCTGCTGCCCCCAGGGTTCCTGCCCTGACTTCCCTCAGTGATGGACTAATGCCTGAAAGTGGACGATGAAATAAACCCTTTCCCCCCCAAGCTGCTTTTGGTCATGGTGTTTCATCATCAAAATAGAACCCTAACTGAGACGCAGTGCTTTCCCTGCAGTTTGTGTAGCCTGTTTCGAGTAGTCTGAGGCGTATGTTCCTGGTGGAGGGCCAACAAGGTGACCCTTGACCTTCTCACATCAGCTCTCATGCTGACCCTACTACCCATCTTGCATCACGTTTTCATGCACAAGTGATTTTTGGTTGAAAATGACCTTCAGACACAGCGCTTGCTCATCTGCTAAGCGCAAGAAGACTATGATGTACCTTGAGAAAAAACATTTACCCCTAATGCTGCTGGTTGGGCCTTTTACAACTGTGTATAGTGCACACACCTGTTATTATCTCAGCACTTAGAAAACTGAAGAAAGATGGCTGTGAGTTCCAGGCCAGCCTGGGCTACAAAGACACAAAGACACATACGTCACACGCATACACACGCACCAAAAAAGGTGTCTCTTAAGTAGAAACGTGTATAAAACAGGTATGAACAGATGAATACACTATACATAGTTGATTTTAGCTAATAGGCTCCAAAGTGATAATTAGCTGTATGAACAATATAGTAAATGTTTCAGAAAAGTCATTATTAAGACATCTCGAGGACTGGACAGACAGCTCAGCTGTTAAGACAGAGTAAATGCTCTTGCAGAGGAATGGAGTTCAGTTCCCAGCATTCATGTTAGGCAGCTCACAACCACCTATAACTCCAGCCCAGGGGATCTTGGATGCCTGGTCTCTGTCCGCTCTCACACACACACACACACACACACACACACACATATAAGTTATTAAAAATAAACTAACACACACCTTGCAAGAAACTGCTATTACTTCAATGTACTTTGGAGATTTAAAACTGGGATCCTGTTGGGTGGCACACATCTTAAATCCTAGCACTTGGGAGGCAGAGGCAGATGATCTCTGAGTCGAGGACAGTCTGGTCTGCAGAGTGAGTTCCAGGATAGCCAGGGATACACAGAGAAACCCTGCCTCAAAAAAAAAAAAAAAAAAAAAAAAAAATCCAAAACAAAACCCAAAACACTGGACGCTGTATTTGACAGACACTAGCTAAGGAAATCAGCTCTCATCCTGCTGTCGTGGAATACCCCAGGTTTTTAAAGCCACTCCTATGTCTGGATCCCCTGAAGCTAAGGGGCATGGAGTTTAGCTTGTGCCCAAGTTTGAAAAGCCAATCAGGTGATGCTAGTGTGCAAAACTTACCTCTCCAAATTTAACAAGCGTAAGAGCCCCAATCTACGGCTTGTCAAATCAGGTGGGGAATGCATCTTTGTGCCCAACTGTCAGTTCACCATGCCCAAGACTCTAGGTCCAGTGCCCTAGGGTGGAGGTGGATGCAAGTGCAAGGACAACAGGATGGGACTGGGTTTCAACTGCAGAGACTTAGCTGGGCGGTGGTGGCGCACGCCTTTAATCCCAGCACTTGGGAGGCAGAGGCAGGCGGATCTCTGTGACTTCAAGACCAGCCTGGTCTACAAGAGCTAGTTCCAGGACAGGCACCAAAACCACAAAGAAACCCTGTCTCGAAAAACCAACTGCAGAGACTGAATTCAGGTTCTATTCCTGTAATTCTATTCCGGCTGGGAGTCCATGAACCACATTTTTAACAACTGTCCTCCATTCCTTCTGCCAAGTCACAGAAGCGCAAGTGAACAGAATGAGCTAAACCTAGCAAAGGAGCTCCCTCTGGCCTCACTGGAGCTGCTCTTCCTTGTTGGTCCCACTTCTCAGGCTGCAACTCCTCCCACGCTATTTCTCTGAGGCTGGGGCTGCAGTGGGCAGCCTCAGTTCCAGGGTCAAGACTCAGTATTCCTTACAGACATGCAGATATACCCTAAGGTACTGTTTAGTCTAACTGTTCAGTCTCAAACCAGTCCCTAGAGACAGCAAGTAGCCTGCTCACTTTGTAAAATCCGGGTAAGTCATAGTATACATACCTAATCACTCTAGAAACCCTGGTGTTCTTTTGTTTACTCATTTTTAATCATGTGTATCTGCATGTGGGTAGGCTATGCATAAGTGCAGACGCCAGGGGCATTGCATCCCCCAGCAGATGTTGTGGCTGTGACCCACCAATATGGGTGCAGTGAATTGAATTTAGGTCCTCTGCAAGAGTAGTGTGTGCACTCTTAATTGCTGAGCTATTTCTCTGGCCAACTGTGGTATCTTCAACAATTATTGCTACAGAGAAATTTTTCCTTCACCATAACCAATCTTTCTAAATTTTATTCCAAAAAATTATGTGTTAAGATTAAGATGTCTATAAAGATGTCCATCATTACAATAAAGATCCAACTGGACAGATACGACAAGGACCCAATTCAGTATGTAATGTCCTATTTCCCCGATGGGCAAGTTAAAGAAGAAAAAAATAACAAAAAACCTTTCCAGGGTAGAAGGCCAGGACCACGCCTAACTGAATTGGTGCCTCTAAGGAGTTATAAAATCCGTGATTTTGTTTATTTATCCTTTTCTTTCTGTTCTTTTTCTTTCTTCTCCCGCTCAGCTTTAGCTTCTTCCTCCTCGTGTTTTTTGATCAACTGTTCTACTTCCTTCTGCTTGAGGACTCTGATCACAGTCTTTCCATTCTCTCTTGTTAGTGTGGCGATCTCCACTAAAAACACAAACACACACTGTCAGAGGCAGAATGGCTTACTCTCTCTTTACCCGCATCATGGTCTTTTTCTTACTCTCCCACAGTTTATACTCTTAACGATACACTCACATTTTTATGGGAACAGAATACCTTTGATCCTGTGATACCCTGATTACCATTTTTACCTAAGGATCTTTTCTTCCCCCAGTAACTTTCTCAGCAAACATCTGTGCTACCCAGTAAAGCCAGGTCAGAAGTTGTTCTGACCCACAAGCTGTGCTGACCAGAAGGAACAAGCCAGAGTATTCAAACAATACAACACTATTTTTAATGAACTTTCCTAATTTCTTTTTTTTTAATTTTATGGTTTATTTAACTTTATTTTATGTGCATTGGTGTGAAGGTGCCAGATCCCTTGCAACTGGATCTTCAGACAGTTGTGAGCTGCCATGTGGGTGCTGGGAATTGAACCCGGATCCTCTGGAAGAGCAGTCAGTACTCTTAACCACTGAGCCCTCTCTCCAGCCCCTAATTTCTTTTTAAAACAATGACAGTGATGGAAACAAAGCAGTTTCCATCAGGCATGGCGATGCACACCTGTAATCCCAGCACTCTGGAGGCACAGGCAGGGTCACTGCTAGCTTGATGCCAGCTTTGGTCTAATAGTGAGGCCAAGGCCAGCCAGAAGCACAGGATCTCCAAAACAGGAATTACATTCAGGCTCAAATCCTTAAGTCTTCCCTATGACACAGGCCTGTGGTTCTACAATTCATCAAGGCTAATCTTAGTCATTTAACAGCATGGAGTCTCCAGTGTCCCTTAAGGTAACTGCTTCAATAAACTAAAACTCATTAAAGACCTAAGGCTGTAGCTACTCAATGAATCAGGAGGACTGGGCTTACCTTTCTCAGCTGACAGTTTACTAACATCCATGGTCTTATTTAGCACCTTGATAGCGAGAGCAAGTGCCGACTTTAGAGTCATCTCTCCTTCTTTGTAGTCTTGTTTCAACATTGACACGGCTGCCTAAAAAAAAAAAAAAAAAAAAACAAAGAATCAACACAGAGAGTTTCCTTCAAATCTGTGCATTTAGGGGAGAGTACGACGGATTGGCCTAACACACCAACTGCCTAAATTCATATCAGCTTTGCAACTGGTACAAACAATGTTGACAGTGGGAAGGGTAACATGGATGGGGAAGGGACCAGGGTGACCAGTGTTCTGAAGGCCTTGAACCTGGAAAGAGTTCAGAGGTGAGCAGGACGGTGGTGGCGCACGCCTTTAATCCTAGCTCTCGGAGGCAGAGGCAGGCGGAACTTTGAGCTCGAGGCCAGCCTGGTCTACAGAGCAAGTTCCAGGACAGGTTCCAAAGCTACACAGAGAAACCCTATCTCTTAATGGGGAACAAACAAACAAACAAAACAGGGTTCAGATGTGAATTAACACATAAGAAAAAAGTTCTTACAACTTATAATTGAAAACTATCACTTAGGTTAAGAGCATTGCCTGCTCTTCCAAAGGTCCTGAGTTCAATTCCCAGCAACCACATGGTGGCTCACAACCATCTGTAATGAGGTCTGGTGCCCTCTTCTGGCCTGCAGGCATACACGTAGAAAGAATATTGTATACATAATAAATAAATAAATATTTAAAAAAAAAAAAAAGAAAAGAAAACTATCACTTAGCTATAAATATCATCAACAAACTACAGCATATAGCAGCAGAGACCACACCGAGGCCACGCTGACACTGGTGTTAAATGCTGTTAGACTCTCTTGCACTAAACGCCACCCCAAAAGCAGAGACCTTAGCCTTCTCTGCATGTCAGCATCACAAAGATACTCACAGCACTGTTGTTCCCGATACACGTGGCTTTCCATCCCCCGTAATTTCCACTTGGGTCACTCTGATAGAGCTGAAAGCCATAGTGTTTATCCCAGCCAATGTACAGCAGAGAAACACCAAAGGGACGCTTTCCTTTAAGAAAGAAAAAAAAAAATCAATAATCTCAATTTTAAAACCCAACCACCTCAATTTAGAGCTGCCCGTGGATGCGGCCCAAGCCTGTCTGTGGAATTAGGCATGCATAAATTGCTTTTGTGTTCTGGCCACCACAGATAAGCTCAGTCACAAATGCCACTTCTGTTTCCAGGAGCTGGACTCCAGCTAGGGAGGAAATGAGGAAACTGAAGCCCCCCACCCCCGTGCAGAATTTCATTATTATGTAAAAATGATCTGTTTCTAGACTTGAAAAGGCTACTCTGGCAGTGAAGCATCCTGTTGTGGCATGTGGAAGCAGATTTTCATGGAACAGGCGATATCTGCACCCCAGGGTTCAGGAGGCTGTGGCAGAAGGATGCAGAGAGCTCCAGGTGAGTCTAGGCTACACCGTGTGAATGTCTCACAAACAAAACATGTAGAGAGTAAGAGACTTCGGAGTGCTTATGCCTAAGCTGGGCATCATCACTCCTCCAACACCCAGTGATCACGGAAGAAGGGACAAAATACTGTAAGAGCCAGAGATGGTGGGTGACAGGACAATCAATGTTTTCCAGACACAACAGGGAAGCCACAAACGAGCTCGCAGTAGTTGTGACAACATGCTCAAGACCCACGCTAGACAGCACATGGGAGGAGGGATACCGAAGGAGGTGGGCATGACGTCCCACCTCCAGCTGATGAGTTTCTAGTATTGGCAGCTGCTGGGAGAGGAAGCCATTTTCTTTACAGGTGTGGCCCTTGCTAAAGTGACAGTGCTACAGAGCAGGTCCCACACCCAGAGCGTTTGTTTAGCACAAACTGGACTGCAGGATTTAAAAGAGGAAAGTGGGAGGGAAGAAAAGAACATAAAGTCGGGCGGTTTGGTAGGTGGAGGATAGATGTGGAAGGAAATGGTGGGTGAATATTATCAAAATTCATTGTATGGAATCTCAGAGAATAAAAATATTTTTAAAAATATATTTTAAAACCCCCAAAAGAAACCCAACAAAACCAAAATAACAACCTCAAAAAAACCTTAACACAGAACAAAACAAAGCAAAAGTTTATTCCTTATAGAATGTTTTAAGTTTTCAGAGTATTCCCAAAGAAACTCAGTACCTCCAAACTGTGTATAAGCCTGTTTGATATCACACAGTGCTGTAACCAACTGCTCACACGGAATTGGCTCCTGGTACTGTAATAAATACCTATGGTAAAGAGAATGACAAATTAACAGGCTTCTCGAAAATATATACAATGCAAGGAAGTGCCCTCTGGAAATATATATATATATATATATAATGGGGGCAAATGTAGCAGTCAGTTTTACTCTGAAGAGGACGGAGGGAGAAAAAGAATACTAGTATTCTCACGTGTACCAGTATTTTTAATTTTGTAAGTTTGTTTGATTAGGAAAAATACACTTTTCAATTAATGGACTTTTTTTTTTTTTTTTCCGAGACAGGGTATCTTTCTCTGTATAGCTCTGACTGTCCTGGAACTCACACTGTAGAGGTAGAGCAGGCTGGCCTTGGACTCACAGAGTTAATGCCTCTGCAGGGATTAAAGGTGTGCACCACCACCACCTGGCCAATTAGGGATTTTCTAAACAACTTTAAACCCTGCCTTGGAGCCCTGTGACTCACTACTCCATCCGTACCTTTGGGCAATGAGCCTTAGTTCATTAGTCAGGACGTTAGCATCAGATGTGATGCCTGCCACACTGCAAGCCATGTCCCTTGAAGGAAAAAAAAAAAGACCAATGTAAGAGGAAAGATGCTTGCTAGGGCATTTCTGAGTGTTAAGAAGTACCTAGATCTATGAGGGATTCCCCAACTTTCCTCGCAGCACCAGCCTCAGGGAAAAGGCTAGAAGATCATGATCTTGGGAGATGTTTAGCTAATGTCATTCAGCACAAACGATAAACAAATACAGTCTCAGTTCTTCAGCAGACACATTTATTATTGCCCTCGGGAGCAGGCAAGAGAAGGAACACTAAGTAGCTAAAGCAAGGGAGCCAAGAAAAGGCTTTGTTGAGTGGACAGACCACTCCACTGGGGTGTAACTCTCACTGCCTGGCCTGACAGGTGTGAGGGGAAGAGACACAGGGTGGGGGTTCACGGGCTGTCTAAGCATGCACTCCCTTTTCTGCCGGTTCTCAAAGCTTTCCCTGGGTCTCCATGGTCTAGCTACCTGCTGGGACTATGCCTCAACAAGTGCTCCAGTCGCTGAGTAGGGCCTAAAGTGACTGTAGGGGAAGGACACTGTCAAGTGAGTGTGCCAAAGGCCCGTGAGAGCACGAGGCCCATGCAGGAGTGTCTTTCTGGTGGCTATGTAACCTGGCACAGAACCCAACTGCCTTCTAAGTACCTATACCTTTCCTCTTAGACAAAAATGGACCCCAGCCTTAATCAGAGAAGCCTCAGCTTAAGTGCTGGTAAGTGCATATCATGGGTGTCTATGACGCTGGGGATAAGTGACAGTTGTGGGACAGCCCTAAAGAAATCGTTTATACCACTGCCTCTCTAAGGCTTTCAGACAAGGCTTGTGGGAAGGGGGCCGGGAAGACAAAGAGTGGGCTGTAGACTAGACTGAAATCATCAGTTCACAACTGCTTTGGGCACAGGCAAGACCGGATGCTGTGGGATATTTGTACACTGTGTGAAGATGAATACAGTGACTGGTGTAATACAAAGAGGAATGGCCGATAGCTAGGCAGGAGGTACAGGCAGGATTTCCGAGGAGACACCAAGAGGCAGAGAGGAAACAAGAGGGGCAAGATGGAAGAGAGGTAACACCATGTGACAGAATGCAGATTAATATAAATGGGTTAATTTAAGTTATAAGAGCTAGTTAGGAACAGGCCTAAGCTATAGGCTGAGCTTTCATAATTAATAAGACGTCTTTGTGTCATTATTTGGGAGCTGGCTACCGGGACAGAAAAAGACTCGCCACAATCCTACCAATAATCAGTCAAGAAGAGGCTCATAGGATCCTGTCTTTATATTGCAACTCTTAGCTGCTGACAGATTCTGAGAAAGGAGGAATCACTGTCCTTGGTTATGTGCCAACTGCTAAGCCCACCGGCCTCCCATAGCTTTCAGCCCACGGTCACACAGATGGCCCTGGGAATGTCAGTCAATCTGTAAACAGACTAACCGTAAGAAAGATTTGTGGGGAAGGAGAAGGAAGACGGGGATGGTAGGGACAGGGTGTGACAAGGGTCAGAATGTACGGTATACACCTCCAACACTGTAATAAACAAATAATTAGATAGGCCTCAGTGACAAGCATTCATCGGGCCTACCCCACAAGGCAAAGTCTCTATGTAGCACGGCCAGTCCTCCACAAAAACAAAGTCCCAAGACTCAACCTGACCAGAAACTAGATGTACTGTGTGGCTGACTGTGACCAGCTCTCCAAATCCCGGTTCTTTGGTAAAGAGTCAGTGTAATTCTCCAGGATCTCTACTGTCATTCTAAGCAATACCACGGGGCTTGCTTTTTGCTAGGCACTGTGTGGGTTTATTTCGCTCATCTATTTTGTTTCTTTAGATTTCGACAACCACTCTGAGTCCCCAAGAAGTCAAATAACTGGTGCAGCATCACACCTTGTATTGATCAACGTTGAATTGTAAACCAAATCTGTGTGACCAGGAAGTACATACTTTTATCACTGCACAATGCCTTTTTGCACTGTTTAGCTGTGCACTCGAAGTGAATTACACACATACTGAACATACTGAGACATAATACAATAAGCGAGGCTTCGAGGAGGTTTCAAGCAAAATAAAGCAAATACACATTTTCACAAGAAAAAAATTAATCTACTCCCTTCAGTTCTACCATCTCACACAGAAGACTCCTTTCCAGATATGCCAATCCCAACAGTGCAAACTCTCCCCCAAGATCCACTTACTCATTAAGTTTGTAGATTTTTTCAGAAAAAAAGACTTCGTCCAGAAGCTTGTGGATGTTGCGCCGCTCTGCGGCAAGCAGGACTCCATCATTGGCTAAGATCCCCAAACAGGTGCCCGCGTGCCCGATAGCTTCCATGGCATACTCCACCTGGTACAACCGACCTGCAAAACAGCGAGACCCAGCGTCCCTTTGTGTTCCTACAGTGCTGATCCAGAGAATCCAGCAGACACTAGCGGGCACAGTCACAGCCTTAGTTTCACTACTCAACCTAGGGACAACAGCTATTTCAAAGTACAAAAAGAATGAGCCTAACACCAAAAGACACACGTGTAGCTCCCCTCCCCCACCCCGCTAAAAGTATAATACTGAAAAAAAAAAAAAAAACTAAACAAAAACTTTCTTTGAAGCAAGTTAAACTTTCTAATTTACCTTCTGGAGAAAATATTGTGGTCCTGGAGTCATATCTTCGAGACTGCAAAGGAAAAACAGAGCGATGATGCCTGTCACTGAAGTCAGTCAGCTTCTGGAAGCCCACAAACCTACAGCTGTGTCCCGGTGCTGAGTTCAGGGGAGGAAGCCACCATTCCACCCCACCCCACCTCCACCTGCTGCTGCTTCACTTCTCCTGTCAGTCTCTTAGCTGCAAACAAGCCGCAGCATTCAACAGGCACGAATTAAACGAAACGTGTCATGAACTCACCATGGCTTCTGAACTTTATGTAACTCCTGTGAAAAGAAAATAGGATCATTAAAAAAAAAATCATAATTTAAGAAGTATCTTCTAGCCAGGCGCACGCCTTTAATCCCAGCACTTGGAAGGCAGAGGCAGGCGGATCTCTGTGAGTTCGAGGCCAGCCTAGTAGACAAGAGCTAGTTCCAGGACAGGCTCCAAGGCTACCCAGAGAAACCCTGTCTCAAAGAGTGAAAAGTGTCTTCTACCTTTTAAATCGTTTGCTCCACACCCTCATTCAGCTAACACTGTGCATCAGACAGCCATCAGGAACTATACTGGATGCTGAACCACCACACTACAGGTGAAAGCCAAGTCTCTCTCTCTAAGAAGAGGGACACAGATCATAAAGTAACCGAGGGTGGGGTGGGAAGAAGGGATGGACAGCAAGTAAGTTTTTGTGAAACAAAGCCCGAGAATGAGAGTAAATCACAGATGGGAGAGACAAAAGTAAGTAGAAAAGCCTCAGGTCGAAGGAAAATTGGGAAAGGGTGAAGGGAACGACATTCCAAGTAGAGCAGGATGAGAAAGGTTAATGAAGTGGAAATGAGCGGATAAGAGACAAGACAAATTGCCTAAGCCTGATATGGCCCTAAATTTCAGGGTGTAGGGGCAGGTAGTAAACCTGGGCCTCATTTCTTCGAAAGACAGCAATGGAAGCTCTGCCTTTGTGGAAAAATGGCACCCTGAGTTCAGTTCCTATACTGCCAAATAATGGGAAACCAGGAATCGTGGCTGGAAAGTTAAACAGACATCTGAAGGGTCTGGTGCTCAGGTGAAAACTTAATCTCTTAACTCCTGACGGCTCCGTCGAATGACTGGGCGCAAGGACCCAAGAACTGACATTTTAGGAAAGTCGTCCGGCAAGCTAACCTGCCAGGAGTCGATTCCAACGTGTAGGAGAAACAGAAAGGTGGCCCCGAGCACAGCAGCCAGGCCACGCCGGGTTTCGATTAGGCTGCGAACACAGCTCGACCTCCACGCCCCGTGCCGGCGCCACAAGCTTTGGACTTTCCCCGCAGCTCCACTTTCCCGAAGGGACTCGCAGGGCCGCCCCACCCCTCGCACCGACGCGGGGGATCCCAGAGCCCGGGCCCGCAGTCCAGGCCGCGCGGGCGGCGGGGTCCAGTCCCTGGCAGGCCGGTCACCGAGGAGGCGGGTGCAAAGTCATCGTGCCCACGGCTCCTCGGTGGCGGCCGCCCCGGCCTGGGCCGTCGTCTCCACGGAAATGGCCCCCGCCCAGGACACAGCGACCACGCTTCCGCGGGCCGTAGGGGACCGAGCCTCACCGGAGGAAGACAGTGAGGGGTGCAGATCGGCGCCGCTTTACTCAGCTGGAGAAGAACCAACACGGATGGCCAAGCATCCGCGGCGAATATGGCTCCCGAGCGTGCGCAGAACTGCCAGGGGGCGGGGCGGCGAGGACGCGGAAGTCCTCCTGGTGGCGGGGCGGAGACCGGCTGCCCCCACGTGGACGTTGGAGGAGAACAGCCTCGTCTTAGGCTGGGGTCGGAGTTAGAGGTGGATTGGAGGGAGGAGGGAAGAGCGTAGTCTGCGGAAAGTGGAACCAACTTCGTCGTGCACTTTGCGTAGACTTTGCGCTCCACTTTCTGTTTCTCTTCTGGACCATCCTAACGAAGCCCAGCGTAGCAACTATAGACAGAACCGAATCACTTGCTATTCCAACCTTGCCCCTTAACAGCTTTTCCTTCTTCCTACCCTGAAGCCTCATTTTCTCCTCTCTCAGATCCAGCTCTTTCATTGGGAGAATTTCTCTTCATCCATCCTGTCTTTCTTACCTGGTTTCTGTGCTCATGTTGGGGTTGACTGTGCCTGGTTTAATATTGAAGTCGTCTCAGCCCACTGGACAGGGCTTTATCCTCTGTGTAGGATGCAAAATGATTTGGATCTGTTTTTGTTGTTGTTTGTTTGTTTTGTTTTTAAAGGGGGGAAGCTTAGAAATTGGTGGCGTGTAGTCTGGGCCTGGCCAGTACTCAGCAGGCAGAGGTAGCAAGTTCAGGGCCAACCTGATTTGCCCTGTGAATCCCAGGCCAGCCAGGGTTGCATAGGGAGACTGTCTCAAAAATGAGAGAAAAAAATAGTAAAATATCCATACAGTGCAGCAGGTATTTATTATAACAGAAATCAGCAATATTTGCATTAGGAATTTAGTGAAGGGAATCCTCGTTAGCAAGAACAATCCAGAGAGAAACTGCAGGTTCCACTGTATAACAGGATGAACGCTGGTCTGGAGTAAGCCGAAGTTTCAGTCCATTTTTCTGGTCCCTAGTTTCCTGATTAGCCAAGTAAAACAAAAATCTTAAATGTGAGAATCCCAAGTGTTTCACATGTGAGTGATCTCATTTGTTCTCGTTCTCTCCGTCTCTCTCTCTGTCTCTCTCTCTGTCTCTGTCTCTCTCTCTCTGTCTCTCTCTCTCTCTCTCTGTGTGTGTGTGTGTGTGTGTGTGAACAGGAGAGGAGAGGCAAAAGAAATATGGGATTCTGTAGTAATTAGGAGCAAGGGTCAAAACCCAAAGACCTAATTTAAGATCTAAGCCTGGGCTCTCTTTTGAGTCTATTAATTCAGCTGTTAAAGGCTCTATTTTCAGACTATCTGTATGATTCTGTTCTGGATTAAATAATGTTCAATAAACATCGGGTGATAATATATATACTGAACAACTAATGAAGCAGGAAAGAGGGCTGCTCCAGATTGTTGACCTAAGATTCTGATTTGTCTCACTGGATATGGCAGTGAGAAAAGCATGTCACACCAGGATTTTGAGCTTGGGTAACCTGGAATCTGATCCATTATTTAGTAACTATTTATTGTGCCTCAGCTATGTGCGGAGTCTATGCTAAGAGCTTGTCATATTCTCTTACAAAACCTGAACTCTCTGGGATAGGTACAACCATTACCTTGATTTTACAAAACCCTAACCCTAACTCTCTGGGATAGGTACAACCATTACCTCAGTTTTACAGAAAGGAAATCACAATATAGAGAAGTTACAAATGAATTCCAAGTAAACTCAGAGAAATGCCTAGCTTGGGAAATTTAGACAGGTCGGTAGGCAGACAGACAGACAAGCAATTACAGTATCGTAGCCTACTCACACAGACAGATAAGCACTGATGAGGTATGTGAATGGCCAGGGTTCTGACCTGAGCCATCTGTAGAAAGCATGGTTGAACCAAAAAAAAAAAAAAAATGGACCAAGTGTGGTGGACATGCCTACAGTCCCAGCTACTTGCTTGGTTGCATGAAGCAGGATTATCACTTGAGTCCAGCATGGATAACACAGTGGAATCCGGTCTAAACACAGAAAAGAAGCCCACCCTACAAGAATAAGTAGATAGCCACTTACATTAGAGAGTCATGGAAAGAAACCATTTCATTTCACTAACTCTACAGATTCCTATAAAAGGCAATCAGTTATAGAGAATGAAGAACATCTGGTGTAGGGCTAGGGGCCTACACTGGGAGGCTGAACAGGACTGTGGGAAGCAAGGGGCTGAAGACCAGCCTGAGCAGTGTAGGAGCACCCATCTGCTGAGGATCCTTGCTGCCTTCAGGGTTAATGGCCTTGCCGGGATGTCTCCATTTGCTTCCACGCAGTTCCACTGTTATCTAATGTCTACCTCTGGTTCCAGCTGCAGCTACTCTCTCAATGTTCTAAAGTGTTTTTCCCATGACTCCCACCCGTGTTTTCCCCTATGGCACCATAGCATATTTCCTCTGGCATGCATTCATCTTGTGAATGTGTCCAAAGACTCTTCTGTGGGAAAGGCACTATCACAGGTGCAAGGAGAGACACCCAGACATAAGTGTCTCATGGCTCTGCCATGGTCATATTGACAGGCTAGATGAGCAGATAAGACAGTGAAATGCTACGGAAAAGACAGAATCCCATGGGATGCTAGGGAAGTGAGGTCAGAGTACATACAGTTAGTGTTGTGTAGACTAGGTGTTTATGTGGATTATTTAAAATATATAAATATAGTTTACATATGTATTCCTTCCACAGTTTAAAAGTTATTGATTTGCCGGGTAGTAGTGGCATATGCCTTTAATCCCAGCACTCAGGAGGCAGAGGCAGGCGGATCTCTGGGAGTTCGAGGCCAGCCTGGTCTACAAGAGCCAGTTCCGGGACAGGCACCAAAGCTACAGAGAAACCCTGTCTCGAAAAACCAAAAAAAAAAAAAAAAAGTTATTGATTTAAGGCCTGGAATAGACTTTGAGAGACTGATTACAAATTATATATAATCACGCATGATTGAAAGAAAAGACAAACAAAGCCCACAGAAAGACATGCTTACTTGTGTGTTTTTCTCTTCTAGTGCTGAAGTTAAGCCCAGGGCCTTGCACACTAGGAAAGAGTTCTATCTAAATGTAGTACTTTCTTAAGAGTAGAAGGTAGTCCTAAGATTGCTGTAAAAACTAGATCTTCCTTCGCCTCTTCATATTCGGCATAGATTTGTTTTACCATTTCATTTTTAATCCTTCATGAATTTGATCTGGGCCTAACTGAGTTTTGATAGCCAAGGAAATACAAACTTGTCTCCGGTCACATGGAGATCCCGGATTCATAGGACTTGGCAGTTTTGAACCAGATTTCTTCTACGGCCTTCTGGCCTATGGCGAACATCTGCTGTAAATGCTTCCAGCCCGTTTTTGCTGTAACCATGAGGTACTCTCTGTTCTCCGGGTACAGCTGGCAGGAGTACTCGGCCAGGACAAGAGACTGAGTGAAGCGACTGCAGACAAGGAGAAACAGTGCGCTCCTCTCCACAGCCGTCAGAGGGATCACGCTTTCAAACCCTGCAAGGATGTGGCCTCCGACTTGTATGGGGTTTGTGCTTTCAATCATCATGTACATAATGGTGATTGCCACTTCAAACACATAGTAGCCATAGCTCATGTCCCCAAAGTCTAAAATCCCAGAGACTTGATACACAGCATCTCCAGAGGATGGCTCGCTGGAGTCTACTAAGATGTTATGGTCGTTAAGATCACCATGATTGATACCTGAAATTAGAAAAATCACATAAAATGTTATTTAACATGCCAACTCATTCTCTTTCTATCTAAAGCAGAGCCATATAAAGAATTTGATGAGCAAAAAAAAAAAAAAAAAAAAAAAGATAAAAGAACAAACTCCATTTTCTTAAAGCCATTTTCCCTGGAAAGGAACAGGCAGAGTTTTGGCTCCTTTGCTCTTGCTTCTCACCAGTGCAGAGGGTAAAGCAGAGACTGCAGTGCTCGCAAACACCCTGGAAGGACTGCTCAAAGCCAGAGATGTTTAAAAGGAACAGGGGCACATTCATATCATGACAGGAAGCAGAATCTTACACGGAACATATGCACCTTTATTTATATCTAGGCTTCAACACATCCTGATAGCCCTCGTGTGATGATGCACACCTTGTATCCCAGACTCAGGTGGCAGAGGCAGACAAATCTCTGTGAGTTCAGGATCAACTTGGTCTACATACAGAGTTTCGGGCCGGCCAGGGCTGTAGAAAGAGAAAGACCCTGTCTCAAAACCAAAAATAAACCAGAAACTGAAAGTGTTTAGAAAATGTTATAGCAATTTGACATCCAAGAATTTGATACATGGCCTGATTGGTTATATCTAGTGTAGTTAGCTGCATGTGGTCCAAGCTCTGACCCAGGCATACACAGCAGAACCATGCATCAAACTTTAATATGTTGGGAAAACAGAAAACCCCTAACTTGTCTTTATCATGGGCAGTTTGAAAAACACTGATTTAAGCTACTGTCTAGAATTTAGATACTGTCAGTTTGTTTCCAGCAACCAAGCACTGAGAGTCACATACCTTATAATAACTAGGTGATACAGAGCATGTCTTTTTAACTTACAAATGTATTCTTGAAGCAGGATCTGAATCTGTAGCCAAAACTGGCGTCGATCTCATGACAGTCTTTTTGCCTGGCTCTCCCATGTGTGGGGAGTAGAGGTGTGAGCCACCACGCTCAGCTTAACTTCTATATGGCCAGGTTTATCTAAATTACACTTAGTTAACATGTATCACAGTAATACCAGTGAACATTATTGTAAACCATAGATTCTATTTATTTGTTTATTATGTATACAGTGTTTTGCTTTCACGTATCCTTGCAGGCCAAAAGAAGGCAGCAGACCTCATTACAGATGGCTGTGAGCCATCAGGTGGCTGCTAGGAACTGAACAAGGGGCTACTGGAAGAGCAGCCAGTGCTTTTAACCTTTGAGCCATCTCTCCAGCCCCTAAACCATAGGTTTTATTTATTTATTTATTATTTTTTTTTTTTTTTTTTTTTTTTTGGTTTTAGAGACAGGGTTTCTCTGTGGCTTTGGAGCCTGTCCTGGAGCTAGCTCTGTAGACCAGGCTGGTCTCGAACTCAGAGATCCACCTGCCTCTGCCTCCCGAGTGCTGGGATTAAAGGCGGGTGCCACCATCGCCCGGCCTAAACCATAGGTTTTAAATTACACATTTCTGAAATAGGAATGCAGCGTAGAATTAATTCAAAATATAGCAAAATTAGACAGAAATACAAGGGACAAACAGAAAATCCACACCACAGTAAGAGATTACAGCAAGTTTTACTCAGTGGTTCTGAGGAGAAACAAAAGTTATCGGAAAAAGATACCGAAAATTTCAACAACCTGGTAGACAAACTTGACTGAATGGGCATACACCCTAAAATTACAGATATAGCTTCACTTTAATCAAACATGGAACTTTTATTTTATTTTAATATTTATTTATTTATTTATTTATTTATTTATTTATTTATTTATTATGTATTCAATATTCTGCCTGTGTGTATGCCTGCAGGCCAGAAGAGGGCACCCGACTCCATTACAGATGGTTGTGAGCTACCATGTGGTTGCTGGGAATTGAACTCAGGACCCTTGGAAGAGCAGACAATGCTCTTAACCTGTGAGCCATCACTCCAGCTCCCAACATGGAACTTTTATAAAAATGTAACAAACATCACATCATAAAGTATTTAAGATAAATGTCAATGGCTAAAATCATATAGACTTGTCCTGTTCAAATTAATAGCCACTAACCACAGATGGCCATTTCAATTCATGAGATTTGAGCCTGGAGAGAAGGCTCAGCAGTTAAGAATACTGACTGCTCTTCCAGAGGACCTGGGTTCAATTCTCAGAACCCAAACGGTAGCTCATAACTGTCTATAACTCCAGCTCCAGGAGATCTAACACTCTTATACAGACATTTATGCAGACAAAATACCAGCGCATGTGAAATAAAACAAATAAATTATTATTTTTAAAAAGATTAAATAACGTGAAATGGCCCAGTTCTTTTGTTACACAAACCATATTTCAAGTATTCACTAACCACATGAAGACTGCTTTACTGAACAATACAGATATACTTTTACTTTATTATTTATTTATTTATCCTATTGGCCAACAGTGATATGTAGTGTGTTCTATTTCGGAGTGTTTGTTTATTGGTTTGTTTGTTTAGAACAGAATTTCTCTATGCTGTCCTAGAACTCCCTATGGTGACCAGGCTGGCTTCAGACTCACAAAGATCCTCCTGCCTTTGCCTCCCAATGCTCAGATTAAAGGCGTATGGCACCATGCCTGACTAACATGTTTCTTAATCAAAATGCAATTACAACTGAAATCAGCAATGAAAAGATAACTAAAAACTTCATCATATTATGGAGGAAATAACTTATATCTCTAAATATTATGAAAAGAAGATGTTCAAAAATGAGTTACAAAATATCTAAAACCAAATGAAAATTATGTATTAGGACTTGGTGTGCACAGTTTCTCTTATAGCTGCAGATAGCTGTATTTCCAAAAACAGTTCAAATGTTTGCTGACTAAGACACCCGGGCAGGATGATGAAAAGAGGCTTCAGCAACTGTGGAGATCACGTAATGGGAGCGGCAGAAAACAAACAGAACAGTAAGAGACAAAGCAGGCGGAATAATCTAATATCACCTCCCTGCTTGGACAGAAAAAGAGCCAAACAAAAGCTGGCCCCCATATTTTCTAGTTTAAAAGCAATAGAACTGACTGCTACAGGGTACAGGATTTCTCACTGTGGAAATGAAATGTCCTATAATTAGATATTCAACGTCTGCACAACCCTGTGGATATATAAAATCGTGGAATTGTACAAATAAAGGGATACGTTGTGTCTTCAGTGACTCATATCCCAATAAAGCTGTAAAAGAATAATGGGAAATATTATCTTCAATTTTAAAAGGACTAACAACATATTCTTTGATAAATAATAAATATCTCAAAATAGAATAAACTTTGCTTTTTGAAACATGCTCTTACCGTGTGTCCCAGGCTGGCCTCAAGTTCCCTATCAATCTTCCTGTCTCAGTCTTCGAAGGACTGGAATTGAGGTTGTGGCCCACTATCCCTAGTTGGAATAGGTTTTATAAAGTCTTAAGCCAAACAGCGCCTTTTCCAAACAAGCAAACTTTAAATTTGAATATCAGCATAAAAAGAACTGGGCATGTTGGCACATGCCTTTAACCCCAGCACTGGGAGGCAGAGGCAGAGACCGATGGGTCTCTATTAGCCTGAGTTCAGCCTGGTCTACATAATAAGTTCCAACACACACGCGCACGCACACCCCCTCACATGCTCACACACATACGCACACACACTCACAAAAAAGAGGAGGAGGAAGGAAAGCTAAGGAAAACAGCATCCACATTTGTAACAAAAATGGGTGCAGGTCATCACAAATCAAGTCTACACTTAGTTAATTTTATGTCTGTAGTCCAAATAAGGGCAAAGAAAAAAAAAACACAAAAATATCATGAGTTAAGCACCCATTTCAAGAAAATTTTTTAAAGGCAAACAGAAACATTTAGAAAAAAAAGATAATAATATAAGTAATTTAGGATGCAATAAAGAGGGCCTTGAATATGCCCTTCCCCAGAGAATGGGTCTGGGGAGAGAACCACTGGGAACATATAAGAAGAGGCGCTGGGAATCTGCATTCAGGACAAAAGGATCAGTATTAGAAGCTAAGTAAATAGGGCTGGGAAGATGGCTCAGGGTCAAGGGCCCTGGCTGCTCCTCCCGGGTTCCATTCCCACCACCCTCTTGGCAGCTCACAACTGGCTCTAACTCCAGTTCCAGAGGATCCACTGTCCTCTTCTGGTTTCCTTGGGCACTGCATGCATGTGCTGCACGTACATACATGTAAGTAAAACATTTATACATATAAATAAAAAGAAAATCTCAAGACAGTATGTAATAATAAATAATAAATACAATTCTTAAAAGGTATGTTAAGGGCTGGAGAGATGGCTCAGAATTTAAAAGCATTGCCTGCTCTTCCAAAGGTCCTGACTTCAATTCCCAGCAACCACATGATGGCTCACAACCATCTGTAATGGGGTCTGGTGCCCTCTTCTGGCCTGTGGGCATACACACAGACAGAATATTGTATACATAATAAAAAAATAAATATTTAAAAGGTATGTTAAAAGCTTATAGCTATAAACACAAAATTTTAGTTGAATTAGGTAAATTTCTATAAAAATACAACTCATTGAATATGGCAAAAATCTAAATAGTCCTATGTATATTAAAGAGATCAAATTTCTAATTTTAATAATTTCTGGGGCTTTTTGTTTGAGACAGGGGCTTGTGTAGTTAAGCTGGTCTTGAACTCGCTATGTAGCTGAAGATAAGCCCAAATTCCTCATCCTTCCATATTCACCTCCCAAGTCCTAGGATTACAGGTCGGTGCCATCATGCTCTGTTTGCTGATTTTAATATTTCCCTAAAGAAAAATACAGTGCTAAGTTGACTCAGTAAAATCACCTCAAACAGTACAAAAAAAGAAAATGTCATACTTCTAAAAGTACATGTATTTACTTCGTAAATGTGTATTTGAGTGAGTGTATGCCACACATGTGTAGGTGAATGCACAGGCCAGGAGAGGGAATTGGACCTCCTGGAGCTCGAGTAACAGGGGTGGTGAGCCACCTACCATGGGTGCT